GCTTCAACTGTAAAGTGATGAATGGGCAGGACAGCTTCAACTGTAAAGTGATGAACGGGGAAGACAGCTTTAACCGCTTCAGCCTGGAGAGCCTGATTCAGAATATGAACAACCTGAGCCTGGGCAAGAAGCAGATGCCCACGCTGCCCCTGGTGAAAACAGTCAATGGGGAGAGCGCCTCGGACGGTGAGCCGGAGGAACTAAAAGACACAAAGGAGGGCGAAATGGGGTCGCAAGGAGATATGCACACGGGGGAAGATACCCACTCGGAGGAGGAGGACCACTCCGGGGACAACAAACCGACCGTCACAAAAGCGAAGCACCTTTCCCCCGAGGAAGAACAAATATACAAAGGTCCCTCCTTCCCCAACAAGATGGAAAATGATCAATTTAAGATGCTTTTTTTAAGTGAAAAATTTCCAAACCACGCGAATCAGCTAAATGGCTACTCAGGGAAGGGGTACAACGGAGTTGGTGAAGTCACTTACACCGACTTGACTGAGAACGGAGTGGCCAACCTGTGCAGCGTGAGAGACGTACAAACGACCATCACCCATTTGTACAATCACCACAACGGCACGCCGAACGGCACCCCGGAAAGCAGCCATGTAAGTGGCAGCCGTGGAAGTGGAAGCCATGCAAGTGGCCGTAGCGCCCACAACCAAATGATGGACTCCCAGTATGACTTGAGCAGCATGTACAGAAAGTTAAATGCACAGAGGAGCCTAACCGGAGTGAAGACTCTCCAGCAGGAAAGTATCAACCACAGTGTTGCAAATGTGTTCAGTGGTCAACACTACCCTAGTGCAAATAATGGGTTCCCCCGCGAAAGAGGAGCTGAAAAAAAAATGGAAAATTATGACCTTCAGGGAAAGAAGCATTTTTTAAACTACATGGGGGGTAATGGAATGGAGAGCGGTGGCACTTCAAGTGGACACACACACATGGGCAAAGTCAGCGAAAAGGACGGAGGTGCCCGAGTGCCCCTCGATGGCGTGTTCCTAACCAATGCAAGTCAACTCCCGCGTGGCCATCATGGTAGCATTATGAGCGGTAGTGGTGGAAGTCGCGGCAGTCACGGAAGTCACGACGGGAGCGGAAACGACACCGTGATGAAGAATATTCTGATGGGGAAGACAAACCTTTACTGCACCCCCAATTGCAGTGGCGTGAATGGAGATGGCATAGAAAACAGCAGCAGGTATAACTCAAGGGAAGAAAGGAATATCACCAAGGTTGACCCATCAGGTCAATTGGGCCAAACAAAGAATCTGCACGACATGCTCATGAACGACTGCACGAATGGTATGTCTAGCTATGAGGTAGGTGATTTTTTTTTCCTCAAAAATGCGCGCCACCTGAATGGCTTGACTTACCTGCATGAGGAAAATGCTCTACAAGGTACTACGAACAATTTTGCAGACAAGATGAATTTGGTTAACATGTGTGAGGTGAACTACGGTAGCTTGAGGGACTCCGGGGTAGGGTTCACTAGGCCAACACAGCAAAGGGTGGTTGTTGAAGGTGGCCTGCTAAATGGGGGCAATCACTATGGAGCGTGCGGAGGGGGGATACAAGGCCAGTACCAGAACCGCGGTTACGAGAATGACTACTCTAATCATGCGGAATACTCACACGTAGGTGTGTACACTCAGCCGAACCATCTGATAGGCATGCAGAGGAACAACGACCTCGTGAACATGCAGCGGAACAATGACCTCGTGAACACGCAGAGGAACAGCGACCACCTCGTGAACATGCAGAGGAACAACGACCTCGTGAACACGCAGAGAAACAACTCCCCCCTGAACCCACACATGCATTCATACGAAATGGTCCACAAGAGTGATGGCAGCTTTAGCAACTATGTGCACAACGCTAGTAGGGAAGTGGCGAAGATCGGGCAAACCAATTCAGTGACCGAGAAGGGGAGACGGGGATAGAATGAGGAGGGCCTTTCAGACGGCAGCAGCCAGGACGATAAAAAAAAAAACGCGCAGTTATAACCCCCTGACGTACAGCTTCAGCGGGCTCTATGAGTGTTTAGCCAGGGGGGAGGATGAAGAGGAGGGAGCAGAAGTGGAAGCGGGGGAAGAAGAGGAGAAGGCGACGGAGTAGACGCGTGTAAGAGGTGGGAAAACGTATCACGTCTTCCACGCAAAAACAACAGATGGCACAAAGGCAGTGCAACTGTTGCATGTCCCTCCCCCCCGATTCACATCGACATGTGGGTGAACATAAAAAGTGGAGCCTTGAGTAAAATGCAGTTCCCTAAGGATGATGAGGCGGGCGTGAACCGATTCTTGTCCAGTAGCTTTTAAAAAAAAAAAAAAAAAAAAAAAAAAAAAAAAAAAAAAAAAAACAGCAGTATTTCCCCGCATCGCAGTATGGACTAACAACATTGCGCTTCCCGAACTGATGCTCAATTAAGGCAATTTACCTTGAGGGTGTGTTTGTAGTGGGTGTGGACGGGGGCTGTTTCCCCGCTAACACTTCTTACTCCTTTCATTTCATCTCCCAATATGGTGTGTGCCTCCTCAATTGAGTGCAGAACGCAGGAAAGAAAAAAGGGTGTTCCGTCCGACCCTCTTTTCCAAAGGCACCATTTGAAAGTATTGTTTTTTCTTCCTTTTTTTTTTTTTTTTTTTTTTTTTTTGCAGTGCATACCCATTCGATGGAGAGGATTGCGTCTTACCTGTTTAGGCACACCCATCAGAGGGTATGCGCTGTGTATTTAACGACATGAAGAATGCGTCCCTAAATTTTTGTTGTCCTTCGTTTGCACACCGCGTTCTCTATTCCCACGCATGCCCCGTCCACTTGTACAATAATAAAATTTCCAATTTTTTTTTTTTACGTAAAATTAATTTTTTTTTTTTTTTTTTCGTCCTTTTTTTTTTCATTCTTCGCATACGTTACTCTCTCTTTTGAACGTTGCGCAAATGTGTGCCTTTTTTTAATAGCGCTAGATATTTTTGTTCACTTGTTTGTTTTCGCCTGTGTACCATCAGTTTTTTTTTTTTTTTTTGTTTTTTTTTTAAACACACAACTAGGGGACTCAACATTGTTACACACACACTGCATTTCTCATACATTCCCGTTGTGAGGAAATACCAACGTCGATGCGGATCTGAATCTTGGTGTGCTGTTCTTATCGTCCCCATGCACACGTATGGCTTATATGTATGCGGGATGCTGATTCTCTGTTTCCATGACCGCGTGTTTTTTTTTTTTTTTCCTCTACCCATCGAGAACGGTAGCTATGAAAAAAAGGGACATAAAAACGCAACACGTCAGGAACAAGCGACAATGCATTGTATAAGAGTAGTTGTCTGCACAAAAAAAAAAAAAAATACAATAAATAAATAACAACTTACTTGCCGCATAATCCGCAACAAAGCATGCGCGAAAGAAAAAAAAAGAGCTAATCATCCGGTCTCCTAAACTCGGCTGTTCCTTGATAGCAGTTGCACGTGCAAGGTTGGGAGAATTCCTATTTCGCTCAGTGCATGAATTTTTTTTTTTTTTTTTTTCTTTTCTTGTTTCCCCGTTGCGTCACCACAGTTATAAATGTAGCGCAGACGGAAGGCCAAAGGAATGACAAATTAATGTCGGCACAGGCGGGTTGCTCGCATATGCACCTGTTTCCTTTTATTTGCTTCTATTTTTTTTGCTTCTTTTTTGGTTTCTTTTTTTCCCCGGTTTGTCCATTTCTCCGCAGAGGTTCCCCTTGGCTGCTTTGCAAAACTGCACAAGAAGGGACATACACACACACACACAAGGGGCGGGTTGAACATACCTTTACGTCAGCTGAGCAACTGACCAACTGACCAATCGCCCCCCCCCTGGCGTGGCAGCACAAAATGCGTAACTTTGCGAGGATCCCGCTTTGTCGCCCCCTCGGGGGGAAGCACCCGTTCCGCTTTAACAAGGCGCAAATAAAAACACTGCACAACTTCCTAGACGTCCTGGAATTTGAAGAGGGGAAAGAAGACGATACGGAGTATAGGCGAATCGATGAGCTAAGCAAATACGTTGAAGTTATAAAAATTAAGGACAGCCCAATTAACGAAAGTAAGTACTATGGGTACAATTTCGAAAATGAAGAAAATTTTTTTGACCCCAATGGAGAATTGAAAAAAAATTTACCTGAACAGGTCATACAAAATGAAGGAGAACGAATAAAGGAATACATACATGTGCCCCCATTTGTTTTAACGAAATTATGTGAATATGCATTTAAAGAAATATTATTTTTTTTAAATAAAAAACATTTGAAGCAACTGAGCAACATATTGAATGATGGGGAGTCCAGCAAGAACGACAAGTATGTCGCCATGACTTTAATTAAGAACGCCGTCATCAGTGCTGAGCAGAATTTGCCTGGATGCCAGGACACGGGGACGGCCATCATTTTGGGCAAAAAGGACGAGGACATATTAACCTCTTATGAGCACAAGTATTTGAACTTGGGTGTTTACAATGCCTATCGCAACAATAACTTTCGTTACAGCCAGCTGTCTCCCCTGAGCATGTTCAGCGAGGAGAATACAAAGAATAACTTGCCATGCCAGATTGAGATATACAGCTCCGTGCGCGGGGGGAAGGCACATGGTGGAGTAACAACGCCGGGGGTGCGGGCGTCTCCCCCGTCTTCTCCCCCCACTTGTGCCGCGTCCACCGCGTCCATCGCCAAGTACGAACTGATCTTCATCGCCAAGGGCGGGGGGAGCGCAAACAAGACGTTCCTGTTCCAACAAACCAAGAGCATCCTGAACGAAGACAAGCTCTACGATTTTCTCCTCGAAAAAATTAAAGAAATTGGTACCTCCGCATGCCCCCCATATCACTTGGCAGTAGTAATTGGAGGGCTGTCTGCTGAAATGAATTTAAAAGTGGTAAAGTTAGCGTCCTGCAGGTACTTGGATGATTTGAAGAAAGAGGGTGGAGGGTACGGAAAGGCATTTCGAGACATGAAGAGTGAAGAAATTATTTTGCAGAAGGCACAAGGGCTAGGTATAGGTGCTCAATTTGGGGGGAAGTACTTTGTACATGATGTGAGAGTGATCCGCTTGCCGAGACATTCTGCTTCGTGTCCTATTGGCATTGGTGTTTCCTGCTCAGCTGACAGGCAAATTAAATGCGTAATAAATCGAGAGGGGGTATTTATGGAGGCTCTGGAGCATGAGCCGATTAAGTACCTACCAGAAATTACGTACAAGGAGTTGAAGCGGGTCGGGGGGGTGGCAGCGCGTACTGGGGAGGAGCACTCCGGAGAGGAAGACACAGGGGAGGGAGGCATCGCCATCAACCTTAATCAGCCCATGGAAAGCATCCTTAAATGTTTATCGGAGCACCCCGTGTCGACCCTGCTCCTACTATCGGGCAAGTTAATAGTCGCCAGGGACACAGCCCACAAAAGAATAGTTGATGATTTTGTCCTGCACGGAAAACCCATCCCAGAGTACTTTAAAAAATACCCAATTTACTATGCAGGGCCAGCGAAAACTCCAAATAATTACGCCAGTGGTTCTTTTGGACCTACCACAGCTGGTCGTATGGACGCGTATGCTGAAGTACTTATGAAGAATGGGGCTTCTTTAATTTCGTTGGCCAAAGGGAATAGGTCTTCCGTGGTACGGAACGCGTGTAAAAAGTATCACGGGTTTTACTTGGGGAGTATAGGTGGGCCTGGTGCCATTTTGGCCAAGAAAAATATTAAAAAGGTGGAGGTGATTGACTTTGCGGAGCTCGGGATGGAGGCTGTGCACCTTATCGACGTGGTCGACTTCCCGGCCTTCATCGTCATAGACGACAAGGGAAACGATTTTTACAATAAGTGGATCCCCGCTTAATGCGAAGCGGAGCGGAGCTAAATTATGCATGTACATGTGTATGTAATATTTCACTTATCGCAGTGCACCAGGTGGGCCGTAATATACATCCACTGCACATTTTGCGGAAATTTTTTTTTTTTTTTTTATTGTACTTTTCGTGTCCATCACACTGGGAGTGGGGACCACCCATGTGACAACGTGTGACATTTTTTTTCTGTTCAATTGGACTTGTTTCTACTGTTTGGAAACAGCAGCGTTGGTCTTCCCTGAATTTAACACCCATTTGGTGGGATGCTTCGTTTTATTTCGTGTATCCTGTGGACTGAGTCTGGTAGATGATAGCCCTTGCCCCATTTTGGCGACGTCCATTTTGGCGACGCTCATGTTGGCCGCGCTCATTTTGGCCACGTGCGCGTGAGTTGTTGCAGATGCTGCTGAACCCTTAACACTTGACTGGGTCCCCTTTTTTGAGGCAACCTTGGGGGGACCTCTCAGACCTGGTTTACCCTTCGGATCCGGTTTATTTGCAACTCTCGGGAAGGCTTTACTATCTGTTGGGTTGAGATGGACCGGCGTGTTGCTTATCCCGGTCGTCGTGGCAACCCGTTGGGAAGGCTTCCTCACTGCTGGGTGGCGTCCCCGCAAGGGCGTACTGTTCGTTCCCTTGGCGCCTCCGCCATATCTTGTACAGCCACCAACACCTCCGTCGATGTTATACCGATTGTTCCTCTTGAGGAGAATTCCTGTGTACTCTTCCCTGTTGCTCCTGTTTTCCATTAGCACCTTAACCGCCTTTACGTGGTCTCTCACAAACTTATAAAAGTCATAACACAGTATCCTCTTTTGTATGGCTCTATTGGTGTGTTCCTCCCTTCGTTGCGTTAGTCCATCGTTGGTGTCATCAGGCCGTTTTTCCTCACGAAAGAAGTAGCAGTTCTTTTCAGTGCACTGATGTCTTATAGGTATGAGTTGGTCTCGTTGTTGTGTGTAGCTGTCGTCGCCAGTTTGATCTGCCCCACTAGTACGTCCCTCTCCACATGCAAGGGGTTCTTCTCCATCAGGTTGGTTCTCCCCTCCCATGAGGACGTGTGTCTTATCCCAGAAGGTGCATACATAACTTCTATCTCGCTCCTTCGTCATGGTATGTACAATTTTTAACACGTTCAACAGCATCAATCTTATATGCCCTACACATTTCACGTATGAATTTGAGGCGACGTAATTTATCTTCGTTTCTGAAATGCATTTGCGGAGATCGTCGTAGTAGGCTTCTTCCTCTTCGGCCCCGTCTGCCGGCGCGGTGGTGGCGATTGGCACGGTTGGCGTGCTTGGCGACGTGTGGGAGGTGTCCGAGGCGAAGAGCCCCTTCAAATTGGACAGCAGACAAATGATCAACTGAATAAGGACAGACGAATCGTAGCATAGGAGGAGGTCAAAGGAGGTCCTCTGAATGTGATATATCGAGTTGATAATTTTTTTTGTTTCTTCACGTAGGAGATAATTGCAGATTAGAAATATGTTTGGGTACATGTCTTCTCGGTTAACGCGGAACGTCAAATTGGACAGATGGTGATGCTCCTTCTTCTTCTCCTCCGTGTGCCCCTCCCCGTAATCGTCGTCGTGCTCGTTGTGCAACTGGTAGCTGTACATGTCGCTACTCATGTAGAGGCTACTCTCCTTTGCTGCCGAATGACACTTAATTAACTTTACCCTTTTTTTTTTATTGCTTTGTCCAGGCATCTTCCTCGTGGAGGGGGAGTAGAAGCCCTCCACAAAATTGAATAAGTTTTTGTTCATATATAAAAAGAAGTAGGTGAGGAAGGATGTATTCACATCGAACTTAATGTTTGGTGGGTAGGGGAAGAGAGCCTTGTCTTCACCAAACACCATGGTTTGCTCGGCTCCCCTTTGCAAAATGTCATTCATGTAATCGCTCATCCTCTTGTGTATTTCTACGCTGTCTGTTTTTTTCTTGTACCCTTTGGTCTTGTTCAATGAGATGAAGCGCTCGCACTCGCCGACTATCTGTGGGGTGAGGCAGGTGGAGAGGGGCATGACAGAGTTGCCCCCTCAGGGAAGTACACCAAAAAGGAAAGTACGCTCACAAAAATGCGCGCAAAAAATGTCTGCACAAGAATGCGCGCGAAGAATGTTTTCACAAAAATGTGCGCTAAAAATGACTGCACAAGAATGGGCGCGGAAAAGGAAGACCCACCTTCTTGAGCCACTTGTTCAAAGCCAGCAAGACGAACAGGTACATGTTGGCCTGAGCAACACATTCCGTGCTCTCGAACTCCTCAATAATTCTGCACAAAAAGTGAGGCACGTCATTCACTATACCCTTGGCTTTGTACAAAAATTTATTTACAATTAACACCTCCTTGAGTTGTTGGGATTCCTTAAAGATATAATTTTCGCATAAAATTCTAATCAGGTTTTTGTATTCGTCTTTGAATATGCCATGAGGTTGGTCTCTACCCCCTTGGGTCACCTTCGCGGAGCTCTTGAGCTTCTGCAGGAAACGCTTCCTCTGTTCATTTGCATTCTGTGTGGGGTGCCAATGGAGAGTGAAAATGGACGGAAAGAGGGGAGGGGTACACACACAACCTTCCATGTGTGTGTAAGCTAATCCGTGATGTCGTTTTTTTTTTTTTTTTTTTTTTTTTGGGGGGGAGAGGGGCGGGTGGTCAGGGGCAAACATGGGAGGAAGGCGTTCCTCTCCAATCAAGCGTCTCGCCCCCATCGCGCGTACCAAATAGTTTCCATTCTTCGTTATCGTGGAGTACCTCTTGAGGAAGGCGTTCCTGTAGTGCCTAAGTTTGTACAAGGCTGCCGTATCATAGGGGGGGTCTATTTTGAGGGTGGTGTCCATTTGAATTTGCGTCTTCGAATTGGGGAAAGGGGGGAGGCAGGCATGCGGTTATTGATGAGTACACCTCAGTCGACGCTAATGCGAACATTCCACACGGACGTTGCTAAGGAGGCATCTCCGCTCACCTTTTCGCCAACTTCCACTGCTGCACAAACTTCACTCGTTTTGGTCAGTTTTATTGCCCTCTTTAAATTTTCCTTTATCTCCGTGAGATTTTTATCCTTAAGGGGGGGGAAAAGAAGGGAGAGGGGATCCTTGTACAGTGGAACAGGTTCATCTGTGCATTAGCGTCACGTTGGCCACGTCACGTTATGCGCGCCACATTATGCACATCCCGTGCCTGCCGCACCACCGCTTTGCAGCTGCTCGCTCCTGTTACATGCGCCTGTTGCCTCTCCACATCTTGCTTCAGCTGGACGAGGTTAGCATGGACAGAGTTGTAAAGCCTCTCTTTGTACAAGGAAATTATTTTTTGAATGAGCTTATGGTATTGATTAACCGTCACTGCAAAAATGTTTGCCACTCCTTTCACATAGTTGTGCACAAGTCGGTACTTGTTTGTGAAACATATAATGACGTAGTCCATCATTTTGAGGTGCTGATATAGCTCATCCATTTTTGCTCTGTCGAGGGCATTTGTTTCCATGTGAAGCTGTGAGAATGAACAAGTTTGTCTTTTCACATTTTTCATGTGTTTCTTTTGGGGACCCTCTACAGGGAACGGGGGGCAGTCACCCACATGGAGAGGGGGAAAACAAAAACAAAGCCAGAAAAAAGGACGGTCCACATATAGGACTTTTCTTTTTTTTTTTTTTTTTTTTTTGCGTGAACGCATTAAAATGGATTACTTTTTTTTTTTTCCCCCTTTTTTCAATCGCGAACGGAGTTATGTAGAAGGTAGGACCTAATGAATTCATCAGGAGGTGAGGGGGAGAAGAAAGAAAAGGGACCGTTCCCCTTTTACAAGGACATTTAGTTTAGAAGTTTACCCAGGTGTACACATAGACAGGTATTGCATCTCACGGAGGGGGGTGAGAGGGGAAAAAAAAAAAAAAAATGTATAGTGCGCAAAAATGCCGCAAGCAGCGCGCGACGGGGCACACATAACGATGTATACACGACGGATTGAGAAAATAAAGGAGCGCGACGGACAAGGGGGGAGAGAGTAGATCCAGCGGAGGGGCCAAATCCTCCTGTGCAATATGCTTCACGTTTTTATGGCATATATGCAGAGGATGCAGTCCAGAGTTTCGTTTCCCATTTGCACGCTGCAAAGACCTGCGCAGGCAGAGTGACCAAGGCGGCGCAAAAAAAAAGAGAAAAAAAAAAAGGAAAAAATGTGAACACATAAAGGTAAAATAGGATGCGTAAACCAGGGGGGTGGGGAATAATGAACTCTCAGGTTTGCATATTTTCTGCCATCCCATCCCTATTCCTCCCATGTGTGTGTGTATGTTGGGCTGTTTCAGCTCGTTCTGTCCATGGGGCGCACACGTTCGCGTTCATTTCCTCGTGTGTGCAACTTTTGTACCCAGCCACCCCCCCACATGCACCACATTCTTCTTGAACGTTTCGCGCAGTTGTTCATTCTCTCCTAAACGCATCCCTTTCTCTCATTGCGAACTACGAACCGTCGGAGTTTTCGTTCCACAGACAAACGTTCGATGTTGTTAGCGGCGATCCGTTCTTCTCCATCAAAATGCAGGTAGCTATTTTGGAAAAAAAAAAAAAAAAAAAAAAAAAAAAAAAAATGCACACAGAGTTAGCTATTTGTTTTAAAAATGAGTACTTATAAAAATCCACACTCAGGAGATCTCCACGAAACACTCCAAAAATAAATGACTGACTAAATGGGGTGTTTATGGGCACTGTTTTCGAGGTGAGATTGGGGTTACTTGTTTGTCTACTCAGCCTGTTTGAACGACGGCTACTCCACTACATGCTCTCAGGGGAAGTGCCAAAACGTACCGACGTATTTAAATGGCTTGTTCAATTTGGACAATTCCTTCAAGGCTGTGTCCAGAATCTGAGATACCCAGAAATTCGTTTTCTCGTCATTGTAGTGCATTTTTTCCAGAAACTGAGAAATGGTCTTTGGTCAAGTTGCCACAAAAAAAAAAAAAAAAAAAAAGACAAACCCGTAACATTTTGAAGACGATATTGTAGCGCATATCACGGCGGACAGACTTGCTTGTCCCGTATGCGCCATCGCGAGAATCCACTCCTATACGTCTCTCTGTCGTTGAGCAGTTACCTGTTTGCCTATCTCCTCCATCAGCTCAATGTCGAATTCGTCCTACACGGGGGGTACAGTTGATTTATTTGTGCTTCGTGCGGGGTGCACCAAAAAAAAAAAAAAAAAAGAGGACAGGAGAAGGAGCAAGCGTAGAAGCGAGCGAAGACGAAACACTCTTTAGCATCGCCAATGCACGGAGTACCGCCGCCAAATGGTCCACACAAGGTGCACGCTTGGGCGTCACTTGCAATTACCTCAAACTTTTCCGTGTCGTTCATGTTTGAGGGGAAGTTCGATAAGGTTTTGTGGACAAAAAATTCAATGAGCAAATGTCGCAACGCGCCAGAGGGATAATGTGGTCGCCCTTGCACTTGCCCTTTTTAGATGCTCCTACTCCTCACAGGAAAAACTAAGACGGACAGAATTTTCTCTTACGCGCAAAATTAATGCGCGCAGTTTGGGAAACGGACAAACATGTAGGTTATTTCCATTTAAAGGTTCTTTTTTTTTTTTTTTTTTTTTTTTTTTTTTTTTTTTGCGTGCGTCCAACTGTGCACTTGGCTTGTAATCCATATCGGCCCAACGGACACACCTTGTGCCGCTCTCCTGGGCGTGTAAAAAGTGGAAGTAGACTGCTGTGCGTGTGTTACGCTATGTGTCCATTTTCATTTTGTGTGAAAGAACTTTTCGAGGTGAAAAATATAAACGCACTTTGTTGAGGAGATAAAAAGGAAGAGGTGCCTTTTATGGGGTTAATTTTCTCTTCCTATATTTTCCGAGTGCGCGAGAAAAGGTGGGTAAATTGGACATCACCGCTTTGTTTTTTCGTACCATGCTTGGTGGAGCTACACAGTTAATCGGTAAGTCATTGATGAGGTAACTGGTTAATCGTTTTTCTTTTTTTCCCCCCTTATGGGCTCATCACTGACAACCCCTTGGCAAATTAGCCTGGAGAAAAAATTCCCCAATTTCATAACCCGCGCGAGGATTTTAACTACTCCCCCCACCCTATGTTCCCCTTCTACTTGCTTAAACTGTTTACCTTTTGAGCGTTCCCTATGGCTGCGCTCCTTCCGCAGAAGCGGAGTGACCTACTTGGGGACGAATACGTCATGTACTCAATCGAGTAGTCTGCACGCACACACACATGGGGAGGTGCGGACATACAAACGCACCTAGTGCGTGAGGAAGAATTTGACTTGCATTTGAGAAAGGCCTCAAATGGTGCACGTTTAATGGGTGTCCACTTTGTAATAAATTACACATGTCTAACGCTTTTTTTTTTTTTTTTTTTTTTTTTTTTTTTTTTTGTTTCATTCGCTTCCAAGGGGGCTCCGCTCCTTTGGGCATTATCATCTTGTCATCCCCCTGCGTGTTTATTTTTACATATGCGAACATTTACGTGCCGACTTATGCCCCCATTTTATATGCGTGTTTTGTCCATTCGCTACTTAACTTGGGGGCGAGTGAAGAAAGCTCCACTGGAAGGCCACCGATCACCCAGATGAGTAACAGGAATAGTTTCTACGCGTACAACTCCCCTACCACTGGGCGTTCCGCGCAATGCACTGTGGGGATACATTCAAAAACGCGCTATACTGGGTCTCCCCCCAGGGTAGCGATTGTCCCCATGTAAGAGATTGTCCCCATGTAAGAGATTGTCCCCACGTAAGAGATTGTCCCCACGTAAGCGACTGCCCCCCCGTGTTGTCTCCTCTCGCCTACCGAATGAACATAAAAAACGTCCTGTGTGCATACAAAAACGCATAGCCTGTTTTGCACAGCTCAATTAGCCCCTTGGGCCCGGCACGCGCCAGCGTTAGGGTGTGATGAACGTTTGTACGTACATCAGTGCGAACAAGGTTGAAGGGGAATATGTTCACGCACACGGAAATGTACATGCATGTGTGATTGTGCATTCAGGGCATCTTCATATTTGTAATTTTTCCCCTTGTTTCTTTCTCTCCCTTTCTCTTT